ACTCTACCCCAGCACACTCTCCCCCAGCACACTTTACCCCAGCACACTCTCCCCCAGCACACTCTACCCCAACACACTCTACCCCAGCACACTCTACCCCAACACACTCTACCCCAGCACACTCTCCCCCAGCACACTTTACCCCAGCACACTCTCCCCCAGCACACTCTACCCCAACACACTCTACCCCAGCACACTCTACCCCAACACACTCTACCCCAGCACACTCTCCCCCAGCACACTTTACCCCAGCACACTTTACCCCAGCACACTTTACCCCAGCACACTCTACCCCAGCACACTCTACCCCAGCACACTCTACCCCAGCACACTCTACCCCAGCACACTCTCCCCCAGCACACTTTACCCCAGCACACTCTCCCCAGCACACTTTACCCCAGCACACTTTACCCCAGCACACTCTACCCCAGCACACTCTCCCCCAGCACACTCTACCCCAGCACACTTTTCCCCAGCACACTTTACCCCAGCACACTCTACCCCAGCACACTCTACCCCAGCACACTCTACCCCAGCACACTTTACCCCAGCACACTTTACCCCAGCACACTCTCCCCCAGCACACTCTCCCCCAGCACACTCTCCCCCAGCACACTCTACCCCAGCACACTCTACCCCAGCACACTCTACCCCAGCACACTCTACCCCAGCACACTCTACCCCAGCACACTCTACCCCAGCACACTCTCCCCCAGCACACTTTACCCCAGCACACTCTACCCCAGCACACTTTACCCCAGCACACTCTACCCCAGCACACTCTCCCCCAGCACACTCTACCCCAGCACACTCTACCCCAGCACACTCTCCCCCAGCACACTTTACCCCAGCACACTTTACCCCAGCACACTTTACCCCAGCACACTTTACCCCAGCACACTTTACCCCAGCACACTCTACCCCAGCACGCTCTACCCCAGCACGCTTTACCCCAGCACACTTTACCCCAGCACACTCTACCCCAGCACACTTTACCCCAGCACACTCTACCCCACCACACTCTACCCCAGCACACTTTACCCCAGCACACTCTACCCCAGCACACTCTACCCCAGCACACTTTACCCCAGCACACTCTACCCCAGCACACTCTACCCCAGCACACTTTACCCCAGCACACTTTACCCCAGTACACTCTACCCCAGCACACTCTACCCCAGCACACTCTCCCCCAGCACGCTTTACCCCAGCACACTTTACCCCAGCACACTTTACCCCAGCACACTTTACCCCAGCACACTTTACCCCAACACACTTTACCCCAGCACACTCTACCCCGGCACACTCTCCCCCAGCACACTTTACCCCAGCACACTCTACCCCAGCACACTCTACCCCAGCACGCTTTTCCCCAGCACACTTTACCTCAGCACGCTCGACCCCGCCGCGCGCAACTTTTTGCCGATTGATTAACTGTAGGGGCTAACCCCATTTTAACGTGGCCGAACAGACAGAGGTGAATGGTGAGAAACCTGCCCCCCGCTCCCCACCACCATTTCAACTGCCGAGCCGGGAGATGGGAACCTAACCGGCGGCCCCACCGCGCGCTGCTCGCCATCACACCGCCGTGGCAGCGTCTCCCCATGATGATAGGCCTCGCAAAATTGCCCCCCCCTGCCACTGCTTTGCCGGAATTCGAGCTCACGATCCCACGATTAGTGAGCCCCGCCGTCCCCACCGCCGGCGTGCGAGAGCTCGCGGAAAGCGCACGCGCATTTTTGTGGATAATTATGTGCGCTGTGCGTGACTGTTTTCGTGTGTGCGCGCGGGGCGCGCGTACGTGTGTGTCCATGCGCGCGTGCACGCGCGTGTGTGCGCGCGCGTGTGTGTGCGTGCGCGCCAAGCAGAACGAGATGAAAGACGTTTCAGGTCGCAGTTACAATAACTGCGCGAGAACGCATTGGAGAGAGGGGAAACTGCCCGGAACCAGTTTGCGCTTCATGGCCCGAGGCCCCTCTCAGTTTTTTTGTTTTCTTTCCCTGCGTCTCTCTCACACTCCCCTCTCTCTCACACACGAGCACACACACACGAGCACACATGAGCACACACACACGAGCACACACGAGCACACACACACGCGAGCACACACACAAAGATCCACTGGGTGGCCTTCTACATGCTGTTGGTGCAGATGATGTTAGCGAGCACTTATCAAGGCCGGGGACAGTATACACGAGGCGATGGTTGTGGCCAGCTCCATGCCCGGCCGTCTTTGTCTCCCCTGCGATGATGTTTTTCCATGGGCAGAGTTGACCTAGGTGGGGGATGCTCGGCATTTGTTCGAATGTCATTTGCCACTGATGTGCCACGCTGCTCCCCAATTACACACAAACAAACAAAGATCCCCCGTGTAGCCTTAACAGACTGTTGGGGCAAGTGCTGTTAGCGAGCATCTCGAACACACACACACTCGCTCGTCATCTCTCACCCTCTCACACTCGCCCCCTCCCCACACACCATCATTGTCTCCCTCACACCCCTCTCTCTCTCCCTGCCTCTCTCCCGCAACTCTCCCCGATCCACCCTCGCACACAGCTCTAGGCCAGCGCACTCTCCCCCAACCTCTCTCAACACTCTCTCACTCACAAACTCACGGCACTGCCCTCCACTCTCTCGCTCTCTACACTCTCCACTCACTCTCTCCACTCTCTCGCTCTCTACACTCTCGCTCTCTACACTCTCCACTCACTCTCTCTCTCCACGCTCTCCCCCACCTCTCTCCACTCTCCCTCCCTCACTCTCTCGCACAAAGACAAAAATCCACCATATAGCCCTCACAGACTGTAGGGGCAAGTGCTGTTAGCGAGCACCTATGAAGGCCGGAACGGTACACGAGGGGGTGGGTAGCCAGCACCACGCCCGACCGCCTTTGTCTCCCCAGTGGCGATGTTTACACAGCGCACCAGGTACTAGTTTGAGGCTGAGTCGACCTAGGGGAGGCCCAGGACCGGTTCAGATAATCGTCACTGATGGTGGCCGTGAGCGGGAATCGAAGGCCGGTCGCCGAATTCGTAGCGCAGCGCGCTAACCGCTACACCACCGCTCTCTCGCACACACAGTCACACACACAGAGGTACACACAGTCACACACACAGTCACACACACACAGTCACACACACAGAGGTACACACAGTCACACACACAGAGGTACACACAGTCACACACACAGTCACACACACAGAGGTACACACAGTCACACACACAGAGGTACACACAGTCACACACACAGAGGTCACACACACACAGTCACACACACAGAGGTACACACAGTCACACACACAGTCACACACACAGAGGTCACACACACAGTCACACACACAGTCACACACACAGTCACACACACAGAGGTCACACAGTCACACACACAGAGGTCACACAGAGGTACACACAGTCACACACGGGCCACGCACGCTATGAGCGCGCGGGCTCCCCAATGCTGCTGGCGGAATGACGACACCGCCGACATCCGCCCGCTCTCACGGGGCCACTCGGGGCTCGCGACGCGCACGCGCGGCCGTCACGCACGCGCCTGCGGCCTGCCTACCGACCACCGTCCCACCATTAAAACGACTCTCGCCTCTCCTCGAACAGGGGCGTGGAGAACGCTCGCGCCTTCTCCCCCACCTCTCCTTGCAGTCGATTTAATGTAGGAAAACTCTGCAGTGGTTTCAACAATCAGTGTCTCATCAGCAGAGCCATGCTGAACCGCCAGATCTTTGAAGGCAAGGACCTCGCCCCCCCGTTACTCTCTCGCTCGTCAGACGTGGGTCCTAGCTCAACGCAACAACAAAAATCAGCTCTACAAAACACAACACAGAAATCATCACGATCTCGACGTCCGAGCGGTGATCACTGACAAGCAGCGCCCGACCCGTCAACGTCTCGCAAGCCTCGTTGAGCCCAGGCAGCACTCCGATAGACCACCACCACCCCACCACCGCCGCCGCTGCGTTGTGTGCAGCGGAGGGCAGCGTAGCAAACATCCGTTGTTGGGCTGTACTATGTACTATGCTCCCTGCTTCACAGCTCCCCACCACGTGGATTGAGAAAAGGGCCATAGGATGAACAAAACGTCACCGACGTATTAGACTTGGAAACCCAGTACGCGCATAATCGTCACGCTCCAAATTTCCCAGATTAAAAATAAATCACACCGCAAATGACTCCGTTGGGATTACACACGGCAGGAGCAGCAGCAGCAATTATCACCGCCGCCTGGCAGGCAAATTGTCCCCAGGTCACTCTTGCAAATGAGACCTCACCCCTAGTCTCTCGAATTGATCACCCGATTAAACAAAAATAAACTTGATAAACTTGAACTCAAAATTTCTCACAGCCTTTCGGATTCATGCACGTTCGGCTACACGAGGCGCGGAAGACGTTCAACGTACGTACATTTTACGTGTTTCATCACTGGTCGGAAGCACCGGCCTGGCGGTGGGCCTACGTGGCGGCAGTGTTGTTTGACATCCACTCGACAGGCACTTTAGCGAGTACCTCGAACACAAGCAGCAAGCCTCCTCCCCAAAACTCAAGCGCCCGGGACTGAAAAAGCCCAGCCACGGCATCAATCATTAACGCTCCCTTGTGGGGCTTGTTTGACTGCTCAGTGTCTACCAACAGTGAACCGGCTCCTAAGTCACTTCAATGGCTGGTGTGTTTGTCAACTTTCTTACAAAATTCCAGTTATCTCTCGAAGCCACTCAGTGCAAAGGGCAACCGCGGACTTTGTCGCTCATTTGTTTCTGCCCCTCTCTGTGTCGGTTCAGAAGAACAAGGGGGGCCATCGCCTTAAACGTCAGGCTACTCAACATCACGATACACTTCACGATGATAAGCCACTTCATTGGTTGGGCTATCATTTGTGATAGCCAGTTCACTTCCGAAAAAGAGCTGCGTGCAGCTCAGTGGGCCTTACCTGGTCAAATAAAAAAGTGTTCATCGTTGATAGTTTGCGTCGGGCAGCCGCGTTCGCTCACCTTGCCGAGGACGTCCAGGCAGGGGTGGATGTTGAGCTCAGGGCTGTCCAGCTTGACCACGCCGACCCAGCCATAGTCCAGCAGCTCCTCGTCCTCGGTGCTCACGCACAGCGACAGCGGGTGAACCTGCACGGCGCGGGGGGCAGCACAGCACCTCCGATTAGCACGGTTGGCTACGTACGGTGCGAAAGAAGTTCAACATGCATACAGCGTCACATTCCGCCGTGCAGGGATGCGCCGCGCGATACCCAACGTTTCACGCCCCGTGCCGAACCTATCGCCGCGCATCAAGAACCGGCATCAGCCTGGCAATGCCGCCGGCATCAGCCTGGCAATGCCGCCGGCATCAGCCTGGCAATGCCGCCGGCATCAGCCTGGCAATGCCGCCGGCATCAGCCTGGCAATGCCGCCGGCATCAGCCTGGCAATGCCGCCGGCATCAGCCTGGCAATGCCGCCGGCATCAGCCTGGCAATGCCGCCGGCATCAGCCTGGCAATGCCGCCGGCATCAGCCTGGCAATGCCGCCGGCATCAGCCTGGCAATGCCGCCGGCATCAGCCTGGCAATGCCGCCGGCATCAGCCTGGCAATGCCGCCAGCATCAGCCTGGCAATGCCGAGTAATCAAGGGGAAAAGGGTGCTTGCTCGAATCAGATCCTGAAGAAGCTCCATGCACGTGGAGCAAAAACCCGTTGGAGACGTTCATGAAATTCACTCGCGCGGTCAATGATTCACTTACAACTGCACACTCATTCATTCACCTGCCAGCGCTCATTCTCATCAGTACTGCCGTGCTGCTCTCTCGTCTGTTTCACTCCGTTGTTCATTCACCCACGAACACCCCGCCGTTCTGGTTATCCAGGCACTTCTTCGCTGAGCAATTGCCGCTTTCATTCACTCCGAATCACTCTCCCTTCTCTCATGCGCTCTTCCAGTCTCCACTGAAAGGGGCGAGGGGTGGTGAAATGTGGCTCAGACAAATAAAAATAAAAAATTAATACATGAAAATAACAATCCTGCAGTAATATAGCGGCACGTAAACACGCCCGCGGTGTACTTCGGTGGTCATTTCTGCCTCCTGTTATTATTTTGAAGAGGCCTCGTCGTCACTCACGATCGTGAACACGTGGAGCAGCGCTGGTTTGCTGTCCATGCCACAGAGTCGTGTGCGACTTCCCCCCCGCCCGTCACGATCGCGAGCCCTGCTCTTCCGACCACAGCGGTCACACAAACCCCCACTGTAACCATCACTCTGACACTGTTCATAGACGAGACGATTCGTCAATGCAATTGATTGATTAAAAATAGATTCACCACAAAAAATGTTCTGGTCAATCAACTCGATTCCCTTTACACACGGTGGTTTGACCCCCACATCCCGCCTCCCGAAGGCAGGAAACCCCCCAACAAGCCACACACAGCGCGATGACAAAGATGATGTCACCAAGCCCCACCCTCCCATCCAGCGGCACACGTGGACTTTATTTCACAACAATTTTCACGTTTTCCGACGAGTCGAACAGTCGAACCGATAATCACCAGGAGTCAGATTAGTTTGGACAGCGGGATGACAGCTCAGCTCGAATAACAATGACACACGGCATAACCCTATTCGTAACGCAACGCTCAACGCGGACCACAATCCCAACAATAACCCTCTCACCAATGTAACTCTACTCGTGACCATTGCACCCACTGTCTTACCGGGAGGGGGCCGTTGAGAAGAACTGCCACACGGCTATGCACACGCACGGCCCCTTTGTCAATCCACTGCTGGATAAGGGCCTCCCCACGCCCTCTGGGTCCTGGTGGTTATTTGGCCATACTTCCCAATCCCGGCCATTGCGGGTCGGTGAAAGCAGGCAGCATAGATGTACATTTCGCTGCCCGACCTCTGCTGCCAACGGCGTAGGCCCGCAGCCTGTAACAAGCGAACGCGTGTGGTGGCCCATCCAAGCGTCATCCGGTCTCAGACCTGCTTAGCTTCCGAGATGCGACAGGACGGGGCCTGTTCCGCGGGATTTGGTCGCAGGCCACAGGAGCGATGCCTTGGCGTTAATACGCACGGCAGGGAGCCATACACTTTGGCACAAAGTGTACGGTGTCTGCTGAACCGGCACGTAGCAAGGCTCGGGGCCATACTAAACTATAAAACTATTTTTTTATTTTACCAGTTAAGGCCCACTGAGCTATGTAGCTCTTTTTCAGAAGCGACCTGGCCACAAAATGATAGCTTGACGAAGTGGCTTATCGCGTGGAAATGCATTGCAGCCAAATACTCTAAACGCATTTTGATTCTTAATCTGGGAGTGGAAAACCGGAGGACCCGTAAAAAAAACTCCACGCGACCACGGGGAGAACATGAAAACTCCAAATATACAGGCATCAGGGTCGGGATCGAACCCACAACCTCCTATATACCAGGCGAGGGAGTTTCCATCTCGCCACTGCAGCGCCCGCTTTCGGCACCGCGACGCGCGCAGTGGCGGGCGAATCGATCCGGTGACGATCTCCGAAAGAGACTTCGCCGAGAGCTGTCGCCTGAAACTAGCACGTGGTCGAGAACCGAGGCAGAATGTGACCACACAACGCTTGGCACGTTCAAAAGATCACCCCGAGCCCCACAGGCACGCCGAGTGCAGATGTCTGGACGACTAGACACCACCGCTGCAGCCGGTGTAAAACCGACACGGTGGAACCCGTGACACGCCAACCGCAGGCCCCTCTCGTAACAGATTCAATCCACGTGCATTGAGAACATTCAGGCCCGATCCTTGCACACGTGTGCATGTGCAGCCCTTTGTCAATGCAGGAAACTAAACAATTTTTTTTATTTTACCAGGTAAGGCCTACTGAGGTTTATGCAGCTCTTTTTAGAAGCTACCTGGCCACAAATGATAGCTCAAAGCAGTGGCTTATCATCAAGTGGCAATTTACAGCGGTAGCCAAATACTCCAAATGAATGTCCTACTGGATGAACGTCCTCCCACACCGTGTGGGTCACAAGGATCGCTTGGCCATAGTACACCTCCAATTAGCACAGTTGGCTACGGCCGGCCAACATACGATGGTCAGTGTGGGTGTTTGTTGTTGTGGAGGGGTGCCAGCACTGGTTCAGATATCAGCTACCACTCATGTAATCCGCTGCTGGGTATCGAACCCGGGTCGCCGGGTTCACAGCAGCGTGCGAATCACTGTGCCCCGCCGCATCCGGTCTCTCGCCAACAACCCGCGGCGCCGACCGGCGTGGTGAAGTATGGTCAAATAACCCCCACGCACAACCAGCACGACGCGGGGAGGGGCCCTCTTTCACCGTGCAGGACCTCGTTGCCGGGTCCCACAGGCGGGGCCACATCGTCGTCACGAGCCGTGGTCTATCCACTGCTGGCTAAAACATCACGAGCCCGACGCTGAGTAGCAACATGGCCGCCGCGGTGGCAGCAGCAGGCGAGAAGACGACGCTGCAACGGATCGATCAAGGGCTCAAATCATCATCATCATCACGACGATCGCTCAAATCATCCTCGTCATCATTACCATTCCGCACAATGATCGGTGGATTGCGAAGCAGCAGTGTGCAAAGGTTTAACCCGGCTACCCCTACACAGGAACCACTGTGGTCTCTGTGCGAGAGGGGAGAGAGAGGGAGGGAGAGAGAGGTTGAGAAAAAAAATGTTATAAAAACCCATCAAGGAGGAATTTAAAACAAGCAAACAAGCTCGGCTGCTCTGCTTAAGCCTCCCCCACCCTGCCCCTCCCTCGAAGCTGTTGGCAGAGCGGCTGTCTTCAAAGAGCGCGCTATCCAAACTCCCACTGAGCCCAGTACAGAGAGGAGGGGGGGGGGGTGCTCGTGTTTGTACGGGCGTGCGTGTGTGTGAGAGTGGGGGCGAGAGTGTGTGTGTGTGCGCTTCGCTAACAGCACTTGCCCCAACAGTCTGTTAAGGCTACACGGGGGATCTTTGTCTCTTGTGCTCTTTGTGTGAATGGGGAGCGGTAGCGCAGCGCTACGAACCCGGCCGAGATCAGTGACGATTATCTGAACCGGTCCTGGGCCACCCCGAGATCGACTCGACATCGTCACTGGGGAGACAAAGGCGACCGGGCGTGGTGTTAGCCACCCACCCCCTCGTGTGCAGTGCCGGCCTTACAGCAGCAACTAATCCTGATGGCGGGACGCGGGGCACCAAATAATACAAAATGAGCCGAGGCAATTAAATACTTTATTGCTGGGACACTATTTTTACCAGGGGTGTAACTTAACTCCGCAACTGGGGTAGCAATCAATCCGACATCGGTGCCACTCGGCGATGGACGATTGCCCCGAAACCCCGAACGCTCACGGTACGCACCGTGGTGGTGGTGGTGGTGCATCGCGTGCAGCTCGTGGTGTCTATTCTAGATTTGAAGTTTTCGTGACTACAAGGAGTCATACTCTTTGGTTTTTTTCGGTAAAGTCCCGTAGGTGAAAAATTAAAATAAATTAAATCACGACGTTTCGGAAGCAACACAAGCCTCCGTCATCGAGATGAGTCGACTGCCGCATCGCCGACCATCGACAGACGAAACGTGACTGCGTCACGGACATTGTGCGAGAGCCGGGGCGCTATGGCATCTCCGGGGTAACGCCACAAGGTGCACTTGCCCCAATAGGCTGTGCAGGCTATACGGGGGATCTTTGCCTTTGTGTGTGAGAGAGAGCGGTGGGACAGTGGTTAGGGCACACGGCGCTACGAATCCGGCGACCTTGATTCGAGCGATGTCTGAAACCAGTTCTGAGCCTCTGCTACTGCACCAACCCACCCAGACTGGTGAAGTATGGTCAAACGACCCCATCACTAACACGGTGAGCGAGAGGTCCTCTGTCACACCCCCCCCCCTACCCCACAACTCTTCCCACCCCCATGCTACTACTACCAACTCCTGCGAGTGCTGTACCAGGCACAGTGCGCGTGTGTAAACATCAGCACTGGGGAGACAAAGGCGGAGGGGCTTCTGGCCACCCCGCCCCCTGCTGCGCCTGTGGCAGCCTTAATAGGCGCTCGCAAACACAGCACCCACCGTGTCGTCGTGAGAGGGAGAGAGAGAAGGAGTAGCTGGGGCCTCGTGGCTGCCGGCCACTGACCGACCCTTGACGCCACTCACCCAGGTTCGATCCCAGTCTGAGCCAACAACACCGTGGGAGATCGGCATTGGGGCACCGCGGTGGTTGTTCTGAGATGTTAACTCCCTCGCCTGGTACGCAGGAGGTCGTCGGTTCGATCCTGACCCTGACGCCCGCTGCTGCTGGATATTTGGAGTTGGCGGTGTCTCTCTCCCCGTGGTCGCAGGGATTTTTCTCCGGGTCCTCCGGTTTCCCCCCACTCCACATTTGTAAACACGGGCTGAAGAGTATTTGACTGCTATAATTGTCGACAGGATGAGCCATTTTTGTCGACCTATCATTCGTAGCCAGGTCGCTACGGAGCTCATTGGGCCTTACCTGGCGAAACTAAATTGTTTAAAAGTCAGTCATGACACGCGTGTGTCTCCCCCCAACCCCCTGTCGGCGGAGAATGGGACCAATAAGAAAAACCACGCACACGCATGGACTCCGAGTAACGCTTTCCATCGCGCGTGTGTCCTCGTCGAAGAGGAGGAATAATTAATCTAGATTTGAAGTTTTCGTGACTGCAGGCATCCGTACAAGAGTGAGGAGTAATTAATGGAGCGATAATGACGGCCACGGTCACGGCCAGACACGCGGGGAAGGGGCGGCGTCTCTGTAGGCCACGATGAGACCACGGCCTCGCCTGGCGGCTTTGCCCGGGAGGGCGCGCCTCGGGCGGGGACACCAAGCAGGGTGCTCTCCCGAGCCCAGGGTTATGTATCCCAAGTTTGGGGAAACACGTTGATAAATCC